CACCGCGCCGTCGCCGTTGCTGTTTGTTTTCGCTGTTCATGTTCTACTATGAGATTCTCATTGCCAACATTATTCTCCTGAATAAAATCGTCAGTTCATTTTAATTTCATTTATTGTAATTTGTATTGCACGGACATTGTCAAATATTTAAATTGCTCTCTTACTTTCCATTATATTACGGTTGTTCTCCTGTTACATTTAATTCGTTTGATCAAACCGTCTTAGCCATGAATTATTTGTTTGTTCAACGAGATCGAAAGCTCGGAACGAGTAGTTAGTTGACCAAGTACTTGTCGATACTCATGGGAATTCCGGGATTTCACGAGGTATTGTTTCCTTGAAAAATTTATGCCGCGGGGGCCACAAGAGCGTTACGGGATGCCCGCGGCGGGAGCCGCACTGAAAATTAGTTTCCAAGCTTAATGGAGTTTTGCGATTGCGAAAGGTGCCGCGTCGTACGACGAGGAAAGTCGTCGCGCGAACTTTCTGTGTAACTTTAACAATCTTTCCCATTAGCTGCGATTTTTCACCGCCGGAACACGAGCCCTGACGAAGTTTATCGCTGCCCCGGAGGGGTAAGATAGAAGATAAAAAACGAGGAACGAACGATATCGGACTCGAGGCCACGAATACATTAGAGAGCGACGAATTTCCCGCGGATTGTTTTCCTCGCCGAAATTTGTTCACCTTGATAGTAGCTTGGGGATTTAGAAAAGATTGGCCCCGCGCGTGAACTCAAGAAGATATTGCTCTGCCCGGGAAGAATTAATGGGACCTCAGAACTTTCGCGTTCCTCATGGTTGCTACCGATGAATGAATTCAGGGATCTGATCAATTACCATAAATATAACGTTTTAAAAAATTTATTCGCAAACTCTCCTTACACGTGCCGCAAAACGGCTTCGCTAAAAATTCTGAACTTGGACTTTGACTTCGTTGCGTAAATATATTTCTTATCGATAGTAATTATAAAGGAAATGGTGAAATTCGCAGAGAGAAAAGCTCGTCGGTTAGAAAAACTAATACTAATGTGAAAATAACATTTGTTTATTATTATTTTTTAATGAGAATTTCACTAATGTATTTGTGACATTCTTTTTAATTATTAAAATAAGACTAAACACGACATACGATGTGGAAATTCTTTAAAAAGTAAAAGAGCTGTTACATTAGTATCCCTTCTTCGACAATGGCTGTACTTTTCATATCGCTCGCTAGACTATAATTATAACATACTGTGACTTCGTTTCTATTTCATTACTATCTAAAACATTCAGCTGAAAACAATGTACATATTACTTGACTTTAATTAGTTTGCAATTGTACGAAAAGTCCCCTCATACCGGTTACATAGCCTAGTCAAAGTATATATATAGAAGTTGGGTTACTGAAAGATCGGGTCAACATCGCAACCGTTACTTCGATTCCGATTCTAGCGTTGAGAGAGTAGAGCTCGATCAATTAAGCGAGCACTAATGCAGTCATTGTAGAAATCAGTAATTAATTATTGCAACTAATCGGATTCATAGATTAACTCGGATCTAGTGGAAGAGCGTGTGTCGAAGTGTTAGAAAGGACCTCCTGATACCTGACAGGTATGCCATATTCGTGATGTACGACACCGATCGTCGAAGTAATTTAATCATAAATTTTAAGTATGTGTTCTTGTTAATTAATCCAAAAGACTGAACATTGTAATACTTCAGTAGAAATCGATAGAATCTTCTTATTCGAAAATGGCAGCCAACTTAAAGAAATCATATTTCAAGTAGCTCAACGATTAGACAAACTTGCAAGCCAAGAGGCTAATAAATTATAGTGTATCGTACAAAATTAGCAATCCAGTTTTTGCACGTCACATCCAGTCCTCCTTTAATTAGGGATTCCTTGATCCTTAACAACAATCCTCTTAAAAATAAGTCGATTTCGACCTGGAGACTCGTAAATAAAACGGAAACAGATAATTGGCAATCGGGTCTGAAGTGTTTCGAGATTCGCAATCTCAGTCTGTTTAACGATATTCGAGGTACTAGAGCGGGGTGACAAAACGCTGGAAACGCATCCCCGTGCCTGGTTGACAGGTCCTTCCGCTCGACTTCCGGTTGCACGATCTCATCGATGATTTACGAGCCGCGAAAAAGAGCCACGGGAGAGAGAGGCGATTCAGGGCCCTAGCAACTTCAGAGACAATTTATCGTTGCATCGATCCCGTAAACGAACGGGAAATTTTATAAACTAGCCGACGTTCGAAAGGAGGAAAAATTGGATCGCGCTCGAGAGGCCAGGCCGAGTTATTGGAACGGAGACAAATGAAATCCCGGAAAGCTACCCGCTTTTCGTGAAATAGGATAATTCGAAATTGACCGGGAGTCCCCACCCCTCTCTCTCTCTCCCTCCCCGTTTCTTTCTCTCGTTTCTGCTCGCCCCGAGCGCGGAATTTTATTGCTCCTCGAGTTCAACCTTGGGAGCAACCTGCTCGTTAATAAAGGCACGGGTTACCATTTTACGTCCTACTAACTCCCTAGATTTCTGCCAGGTTTCGAGACGATTTTCATCAACGAAATTGGAAAGTATTATACCAAGTGGATTTCCCTGTTGCTATAATTTCATACACGTTCTCAATGGTTCGCTCCCTCATTAAATTCCTCTTCTTATTACCTTAACTCCTTCGCTTATATTTTAACGTACGTTTCAGCATGCGCTCGCGTAAATCCTACAACTCGCGTTACTTACAAAGTTAGCTAGTTTCGTTCGCGTATAAACGTAATTCATTTCGCTTGCAGCGTCAGATATTAGAATTATCGCGACTCTGTACATGATTAAGGAAACCCAGTAGAGTTGTAGTTTCTATATGCTTTATGAAATATATTTGATCAGATTAAAAGTAGAGTTAGAAATGTAACTTTGTATTCCTTGATGAAAGATGAAATGACAAAGGGACGTTTGATCAAAGAGCAAGAGTAATGAAAGATGCGGACATTGGGAATAAAAACAGTGCCTGTCGCGACTTCCTTGTTTCCCTCCTTTCATTCATTTTCTCTCATTTATCTAACGAAGTCTCGTTTAGAGCGCTTTCGACGTTCATTACGGGCTTCCCAGACTTTCTACCGTCGGTGTGCGAAAAAAGGGAAAGGACACGGCACGGTCACGGGATCGAACGACGCAACGTAATCGCATTATGAACGTCAGGAGTCCTTCCAAGGGCCCATATAAATTAATGTATCATTTCTTATCTTAACTCAATTCTTCCATTTGCCGAGAACAATCGCATTAAAGATCTTCTTTCGGCAACTGGGAGCATCTTTTCTAGAAGTCGTTTAGAAGAGTTGAAGAAGATTTTCGTTTCACGATTAAGATCTCACTAAAACAGTTCGCCACATGGACTCGACTGTTTTTGTCCTCTGGCAATTAGGGCAGTAATTACGTGCAAAGAAGCTCAAGGCTTGTTTTTTTCAACAAATTACATGTCCGTAACATTTGCGATATTTTCTTTTGTTACGCACGCGGAATTCATTTCTTACTCTGTTTAATACACAATTGTAACCGTTGGAAATTGTTTTCGACCGTTAACCGACGAATTTTTTCATGCTGCTCTCCATTTTTCTCTACGAAATGAATCATTTTACGTTGCGCCTGAAAAATTTAATTGCAAATTTTGCGAGAAGCTGTTATTACGATTTCTTTCCATGTGTGGCAACAGCGTAATTGCAATTCTGCACCCCGTAACTATCGCGTGGTACATTCGCAAAAATGCTCGCGCGAAATTGAGTATAATAGAAACGATTCGTATTCTTGTTACAATCGATTTTAGCAGAAGGTGGTAGCCATTTCGGGAGCTGAATTATCGTTTCACCCACGGCCTGTTGAACATCCAGAGATTTATAAAGGTCTCGGCTGTTACGAGGATGGCGACCATTCTTTAGATTTCACTCGGGCTTATTTACGATCCAATTCACTCGCTCGCCCTTCGAAAAAACAATATCAATTTTAATATCGACGACACGACCCGGCGTCACAGGGCTTAATCACGTGGTCCCTGTCATCCGGACAACCCCCGTCAATCGATTAATTAACATGGATTAGCACAGTTTCTAATTATCGCTTAGATTGGATGGCTCGCGTGCACGCCTGTAAACGTATGATGATACAGTGGATAATGACCGGGGCAAATACGAGTTTGTTGTCCCTGGATTATCGTCGCTAATTGCAGTTTGCGTAAAGCTTGCGCGGCGGCCGTCCGACGAAACGGACAAGCTTGTAACGCTATCGACAATGGGCAACGGACCCCGCCGCGTAAATATTGACCACGACAAATATAGGATCGGGGCGACAATCAAAACGTCAGCCTGGCTTAATTTATCGCGTTCACCCTCTCCGCCCTCGTGGCGGCTACCGGCCGCTCCCTTTTTACAAAGTGTCGCCGCGTCGCCGACGATTGTTCCACGTTTATTGAATGCTCAGAACGGGACGTACCTACACGCGTCACGTATCGAAACGCGCTGTTTCCAAAGCGATACACCGCATGCATGGGAAACAACGGAGTTTCGATCCAGAGGGGTAAGAGAAAACTCATGTGAATTTCGCAAACATCACGCTTCGAGGGCAATATTTGTTACTCGCCCGGGAATGTGTTCGATTTTATTTGGAACGCTTCGCGTGCGATTTCAATGGTAAAATGTGTGTAAAAACAAAGGGATAACAATTGATTTAAAATCGTAAATATGCAGAAATTAATTGAGATAAAAGCTACTATTTGTATGAAATTTCGAACAAATATCTATTGGAGTATTTTGGTTGGGAGTCAGTAGTATAAAATTGATCAGGCACGAATTATTGTCGTTATTTGATCAATAGTTTCACGCTTCGATACAATTTCAAATATTTGACATACTGCAACTCAACTTACTTATTTACTGGTGATAAGTAAATCTAAATTTAACAGTTCTGTAAAAACTGGCAAAAGGCTTCTCTAAATGATTGTTTCATGATTTTTGTTACAGAGTTGTTAATTAAGAATGCGCGATGACACGGCGAATTTATCAGTGGACAGCAAACCCGCGCGAGAGGGCGCAGGGTATGGAAATGGAACCCCCCAAAACAAATTCTCACCGCCAGGAAAAAATATTCTTGAAGTGTAAGTATACTCAAACTCTGTCTTCCCGGCATTAAAATTCTCCGATCGAGCTCTGTCGATCTCGAAAATTTTATTTCCCCGATAACCATAACGCAATTTTTCTCCGTCGCCTTCGCGGGTCTATGAGGTGCACGGAAACTGAAGTTCTCCGCCCGGCCCCTCTCAGCGAAACTTCAACGCGCGGAAAATTAATTTACACGGTCCCGGGTTTATCGACAACTTCAACTTTTCGAAGAACTTCGTTTCCGTAACAATGAGGTGGCCGGGTGGGAGGCGAACCTTATCCTTCGCTGATCGATGGTTATTTATAATGTTTATGATCGATGAGATGAAAAATAGCGACCTTGTTTCCCACATTCTCTTTTTAAGCCCGAACGACTCGCTGCCCGGGCACTCGATCACGCGTGATCGATCGCGGACCAATAATCATCGGGATTTTCGCCGACATCTCGCGTCATTTCGATAACGCGATACCTATACTGGATTATTAAATCGTCGCGCAACCTCTGTTCCTTTTTAATGCTGTGATATCGTCCAGAATAATTCGGAAATTCAGTATTTTTTCGATCAACGGAATTTGTGTTTGCTCCGCGTATAGGAAAAGTTGGGAGATTGATCGATTCGGCAGGTGACAGATGACGGAGAGCTCAGATGTTAGACGCGCGTACAAATTTTTCTTGGGCAAATAATTCCACGAGCTTTCACGCTAGCGATTATTTAACGGAACTAGATAAAAATTGTCTGTCTCAAAGAATAGAGTGATGTGTCTACAGATTCGTAGTGGTTCATAATTTTTATAAAGTGAATTTAAAACTCAATACAATTTCTTTATAAAAGGCTCAGGTTTTCGAGGAGTTTGTAATCTCATATTATCTTTCGCGACGTCTTAAACTTACAATTGAAGCATCGAGAGTAAAAGCGGATTAACTTCCTTATACAAGAATTTAAGAGAAAAGATTGATGCACTGCTGCATAGATATTAAACGTAGCAATTAATTTCGTTACAAAATAAATAAATTGATTCCTACAACCTCGTATATAAAATTACTTAACTTTTGCTAAGCATTGCCAGTATGAGAGAGCTTTTTTTTCTATTTGATAGTGTTATAGTTGATCGGAAACTTTTTACCAGCAGAAATTTTTTAATTGGGCCACGGTTCTCGTGGTCCTTTTCCACGAACTAATCATCGTCCTTTGAAATACAATTACATCGCCCCGTGGAATTAACGGCGACGAGGTAGGGGAAACTTTTCAAGCCCGTCGAACTTGTCGAACGCGTTCCGTGCACCGGGGGGTAAATTCGTTCATGCACTGGAGCACGGGTACGCGGCAGCTGCCGGCAGCCTCGTATAAAACGTCGATCGTAGATTCGTCGCAGGAGTTTCGAACAGCAATTACGGCGCTAATGGAGCCCCTACGGGAAGACACGACGAGTTCGGTTCGTAGCTACCAAGACCGAAGTCCAGGCACTTTCTCCATCGCGCCCTCGTGTCGTACCACGCCGGCTCCGTGACGGAACCCAGAAACTTCGTTTTTCCTTTCACGCATCCCGGCACGATTCTCCGCGTGTGCACACACGCTTCTCGCGTCGCGTTCAGGATGCTGCGCCGATTCGCGACGATTTACGTACCGTACCCAGCTGATTTATGACCCAGTGCGATGTACCGCACCAGCTAGCTCGTTTATAACGGTTTAAAATAATGGGAATCGACTCTTAGTGAAATGGCCTAGCTAAATCTCCCGACGAAACCGGGGCTATCTTAGCGCGTAGGTGCATAGAGAAACATTCGATCACGTCAGCAGATGCGCCTTTGACAGAAAACGGGAGTTATATCGTCGTCACCTCTGAGAGCATATAGATTCTTCGAAATATTCATTGTACATCGTTTCGTATCGAGGAACATTGTTCCCATGAGACAACACGAATCACGAGTTCCGTTTACTTTGCATGTTTGTAGAACATTACGCGACATATTCGTATAATCCTTCATTCAATACAGTTAAACGAATTTAACGAACCATGAATCTAATGATTAATTTAATAATCCAGCAGCGTTACGTTTTACTATTTCGAATGACTTATTAAATAAAACTTCACCTTGATAAGAACGGACGATAACGTTAGCTAAGTTATGCAAGTCATGTGCTTGCAAAAGAGTACACATGTGTTATGTAGGTTTAAATCTTCACCCGCTGATGGCTATGAAAATAATGTTGTAAGAATTTTGTGTGTGTGTCGTGTGTACGGTACCTTGTATATTTTATTTCAGACACGCTCCAAGATGCGGAGAAGGATAAAGAGGAAACTGAGTATATGCTACAAGAGAATGGCAAACCAATGTACGAATTAAATTCTTACAGCTGAATGTTATTAAATAAAAAGTAAACAATATGGGATTCAGGATTGTAGTAAAATGTTATAATATGGCAATGAGTTAAGAGAATCCTGCTCGCCCTAAACACTGGAAGAATCGTATCGATTAAACATATTCTTTATTGTAGCAAGTATACCCCGGAAGAATATTTTTGGATGACATGATTTTTTATCGGTATTTCTATTTTCGATGGTGGAGCAAGTTAGAAAATGCATTCGAATGTAAAATCTATTACTTAGCATTTGCCAAAATGCATTTTAATTTATGAAATCTATTTTCGAAGCCCTTTAAAGAAGAACTTTTGTTTGAATTTTTTCCTTCGAATCCGAAAACACTCTTCCATACGAGGAATGTGAAAGAACACGACAAACAGCACGAACACCGGCACGTAGAGACATTTTAATTAAATCGATGCCGTTTTGTGTCCACAGTGAATTCGTGCCACCGCAAACGAAGGAGGAGGACAAGCCGGCCACGCCGGCTGAGCCATCGTTGCCACCAGTGCCTTACTTCAGACTTGTAAGTGTTCCGGGCCAACGGGAAAGATATTTGAAAAATGATCGAATATTTGTTAAACAAAACCCCGGACGCCTGGCGTTGAAATATCGACGGGAGTTTAGTTTCGATTCAAAACGGACGAGATCCATCTTCCGGTGCGACGCAACGGCAGGGAACAGCCGGGGCCCATCGTACTCCCTTTGTCTTTGACAAACTTAACGAGCCGCGGTTCTGCCGATCGATCCGACGCCTGTTTTTGTTTAGAACCGGCTCGATCTCCGTCCATTAATCACCGTTAGGCCGGCATTAATTTCGGCCGCGTGTTAAATCTCCCGGAAAGGCGCGAGTTACCTCCGCACTAAATCACCCGAGGATATGTTTCTGAAATTTTCGACTAGTTTCGCGACAAATTGCTGCGCCGCCACTGCCGCCGCGAAATTTCGCGGAATTCCACCAACGGCGAACTCATCATTCGGATAATTAACATAATACCGATTCTCGTTGCGGATAATTAACTAAAACCTATCGCGCCGGTTGTTGAGCGCAGTTCCGTCGTACTGTTTTCATACTCGTTCAAAACCTCGCGTCGTGGAAAGTTCTAACTTCGTATTATAATTCGAGCGAAACCACGTTAAACCGAATCGCTTCTGTCCAACAGTTTCGATTTGCAACATGCGGGGAGCTGATGCTGATCATTAGTGGCCTGATCATGGGAACCCTGACAGGCCTCTGCATCCCTATCTCGACGATACAATACGGTGAATTCACCACGCTATTGGTGGATCGCAACATGGAGAATCTCACGAGCAGCCCTACGCTCATTTTGAAATGGTTCGGAGGAGGAAAGGTCTTGTAAGTGCTGGCGCGATCTACAGACACGCCTACATACGCATTTGATTACTCTATTTATAGCGCGAATTCGTGAGTCGCGTTTCCACTTTACGTTTTACCAGAAAATAGATCGCAGACGGAAATATTAGTTCTGTCTGGTTCTCTCTAGTTTAATATGAACTTATGCAACCTCAGTCGATGATATCGCTCGTTTATTGCGACAGCTACGTTGCAACGTAGTGATTACGATTCTCTGAAATAATTGTAGTGCACTTTCAAATGTTAAGCCGATATCTATATTGGAATATCGAATTGAAAGAGGAAATCTGTTGCACCAAACGAGTGATGATGCGCAACGTTCCTCGTTAAGAATTAGAAGAAAAATTGTTTAAACAATGAGTATACGGTATACGATAATTGGTAAACGCTTATGGTTGCAGAGATGGAAACGCTACATACGAGGAAAGGATGGAAGCGCTTTACGACGATTCGGTAGCTTTTGGCGTATCCTCCGCCGCGTTGTCCACGCTCCAGTTCTTTTTCGCTGTGTTCACGGTGGATTTCTTGAACATAGCTGCGTCCAGGCAAATCGTCCGGGTGCGCAAAATGTTCCTACGAGCCGTGCTCAAGCAGGATATGACGTGGTACGATATCAACACGTCGACCAATTTCGCAAGCAGAATCACCGAGTGAGTATCATTACCCAATCCGAGTTTAAATATTTAGGTTCGACCTCAAACATTTAAAGGCGAATTCCAGTTCAAATTTTGAAATCCGTACAAATTAGAAGAAAAATGCACTATTTTTAATTACCGGAAATGCGTTTTTATAAACTACATAAACTTTTGGTATTGACTATATAGCCAATACATCCTTAAGTACGTTTTTACTTGTATGATATTTCCTCTTATTCGATATTTGATTTTAAATTGTATAATCGAACTCCAGCAACTCTACGATTAATCACTTCAGAGATCTTTTATGATTTCACGTTTATCGAGGGAATATTGTATTCATATAAATTACCGCATTTTCTCACGGAGATCCGACATTAAGACGGACACTATGGGATTTGATTTTGCATGCTTGCGAACGTCTACGCGAAGCATTGTGCACATACGTAAACGGAGAAAAGCGGGTAAAGTTCAGGAGGACGAGATCGTCAACAGGTGGTCGCTCGCGAAACTCAAAATCCTTGTCCCGATACAATGCTTTCGCCCTCTTTTTCACTCTACTCGTGGTTGCGTCCAGGACGTACAATTATCGGAAATTCAAGGATGGGTTTGCCACGTCCCAGTTAAGCGGTCAACTCCGCGATCTTCTCTTGCGCAGTCTTATTTATTTCGAGACGGCGATCTTCGGTTCGTGTATTAATCGTGTCGCAATTCCAATTACGACATCGGAACTATAATTCGACTAAGTAGGTTTAACACTCGTTTTCTAAGTTTTTTTTAGTGTCATAATAAAACTGTCGTAAAATGATGTAAAGTAGTCAGAAAATTGTGACATCTTTCGTCAATAGCTGGTAAATATTTTTGTACATTATAAGCAAAGCTGTTTACGAAACTTCAAGATTTCATTTGAATGAGGAATACGAATTTTGCAATCGTTTAGAAAATTTGTATTATGTCTAGTTCCGGGTTTCAATAGGCGCGACGTGGTTCACATCATCCTCGATTATCACGAAGATAATAAATGCTAGTCGCAAATATAGCACCGTGATGCAGGTACATGGCGCGGCCCATTTACAATTAGCAGATCGACTGGCATTAGACGTGTTTTGGCTCGCGTCCTGCTCCGCATTTATAATGAACAATTACGCAAATTTTATTTGTGCCTGGTGCGAGTCACGGCAAAGTTTCCTGAACTTGCCTCGTGCTCCGCCGTAAATCATTCCACACACGTTCACTGTCGATGTGTACGTACTTGCGCCGCTTGCCGTCGCCTCAGAAATAGCAAGAAAATCGTTACAACTTTTCGTCACGTTAATCATTTTCATGTGCCTGGTTCAGTTGAAAGAGGCTTGCAAATCGTAATATACATACGTAAGAGAGAACGTTGCATGAATCCGTGTGGAATTCTTTTGTACGTCTTGAGACAATATTGATATTCAGCTCAACGCGATTATAAGACACCCGCGAACACGTGTTGTTACTTTGTAATCTCGAGTACACTTTTTAAATACCCAGAAGAGATGCTTCTTTACTATCAGCAATCTTAATGTCGCGTCAGAACATTTCCATGAATCGTTCAGAGATCAATATTAATTGACGCACAGCCAGATATTCTCCTGAATGCATCTTTCTGATGCATTGACATTCACTTTATCTCTACGTGATAAGAAGGGGTCGTTTCTTATAACGATGAGTAAACTCTACTTTCGTCGTCAGATTCTAATTTTAAAACAAATGTATATATTTTCAGTACATGTTTGCTCTAAAGCAGGGCTTCTTAAACTATGGGTCGCGACCCCAAATGGGGTCGCGTAGCAAAATTCTGCGGTCGCGAGAGATTTTAATGTCAAATATCTATATATATAAAAGTTTAATTTTTTTTATTCCAAAAAAAAGGAACCCCTCTTTTTGTAAAAAACTTTTGTTTGTAAGTGCTTATACAATGTTTTTTACAAGATTTTTGTATGTTTCAAGAAACTCGCAATCATAAATGGGGTCGTGAATGACAAAAGTTTAAGAAGCCCTGCTCTAAAGGAAATAAAATTTAAAGACTACAGAGGTCGTAATATGATTCGGAAAAGTAAAACTCAGTCATATTGACAGTACAGTAGTACTAGCGTTAAAATAGATAACTGGGTTTAAATATCGTTTTATAAGAGATCGATTCACACAAGGTGACCTGTGCACCGTACGAGATAAGACATTTAATTAATTTGCTGAATGGTTGCCCGCGGTCCATGTTATTTTCGTCGATAACAACTTCCGATAGAATCGTCGCTATATGAAATCGCTTCTAATTACGTGAGTTAGCTTGTACGATAGTTGAAAGCTAGGCGAAAGACTGTCTGTCAAGTTTTCAACAAATCCGGGAATTAAATATGCAATACTGATCCTTTTATTCGTTTACAATCTGTCCTTATTTATTCAAATCTCCTTAGAATTTTTATTTAACCGGATAATAGAAATCCATTTAAATCTGTGGATTTTAATTCTGTGGAACAAGAATAGCTTGAGAGCAAATAATAAAATAATGCAGCTGTGTGAATTTTCTTGATTCTTCTTTTTGTTTTTCAGAGATTTGGACAAGATGAAGGACGGTATAGGAGAGAAGCTCGGCGTGTTCACCTATCTGATGGTCTCTTTCATCTCCTCCATCATTATATCATTCGTTTACGGGTGGAAGCTGACGCTGGTGGTGCTAAGCTGCGCGCCAATTATCGTTATAGCTACTGCAGTGGTAGCAAAGGTTCAGAGTTCGTTGACGGCGCAGGAATTGTCAGCTTACGGACAAGCTGGGACCGTCGCCGAGGAGGTGTTAGGCGCCATCAGAACCGTGATCGCTTTCAACGGTGAACAGAAGGAAGTGGACAGATACGCTGATAAGTTAATTCCCGCCGAGAAAACCGGGATCAGACGTGGCATGTGGTCTGGCGTCGGTGGCGGCGTTATGTGGTTCATCATATACATCAGCTACGCCATCGCCTTCTGGTGAGTCCGCTGCACTTGCACGACAATACATTTAAGCGAATCACATTTGACGTTTGTTGCCCTTTCTTGGGGATTAAAGTGGATAATTCAGTGATTTAGTAGAATAACTAAAGCAATAGGCTGTTCCAACGATCTTTCGAATTTGTTCTGTGAAATTTCTTAGAAGCCAAGAATTGTGCTCACTTTAATCGAACCGAGAAGATGTTTCTTTTCTTCTAAATCAACAACACCGATTCCTTGAAATCTAATTTCTCTATTTCATCAATATGTTATCAGGTACGGTGTTCTGCTGATCCTGGAGGACAGGCCAAAGGAGGAGAAAGAGTACACGCCCGCGGTGCTCGTGATCGTGTTCTTCGGGGTGTTGGCCGGTGCCCAGAACATGGGTCTGACTTCGCCGCATCTCGAGGCGTTCGCGGTCGCTCGCGGCTCGGCGGCGGCGATCTTCCAGGTCCTCGATCGGCAACCGGCGATCGACAGTTTGAGCAAGGAGGGCCAAAGGCTGCCGTCGGTCAAGGGCGTGATCGAGTTCAAAAACGTGCACTTCCAATATCCCGCGCGAAAGGACGTAAAAGTGTTGCAAGGCTTGAATCTGACGGTCAATAGCGGTGAGACCGTTGCCCTCGTCGGCGGATCCGGATGCGGGAAGTCCACCTGTCTGCAGCTCATTCAGCGACTGTACGATCCAGCCAAAGGACAGGTAAAAATCTGCATGTTCATTCAATTCTGTGAATAAATGTTGCTTTGTCGAACAATCAGTGTTTTTCCGGTCCCATTGTTAATTTTCAACACTTCTGTCGTGTTTTCAATGTTTTCACCAAAGAGAGACAGAAAGTAATTTACAATTCAACGACTAACGGTTCTTTCTATCTTTTCATCGAACAGAATTCATTTCGATGGTATTTTCGGTAAAAATATTAACTATCATTAGTAAAAATACGAAGTTTATCGCTTCTCGTAATGTTTTAGTTCGTTCGAATTTCGCCAGGATCGGTGAATTTGTTTATCGCCCTAGGAGTTAACAGCAGTATCCCAGCCATGAATCGTTACATCGTTTCATTGTAACATGTATACTCGCAGGCAATAGGAATTTTACGGAACAAGTTTGAAGCGCTTTTCTCGACGGAGCAGTGTATGGCGTTCAGAGTTTTCTCGATAGTAAAAGTTTTACGATTTTCGCGTTCCAGCATCCGTCGCAGTTTCTTCACGGTGAAAATATTACGCCGTACATTTGGCATACTGATTTCGGACCGGTTCCCGGAGCTTTTTTAGCGCTTCGCACAGTACTTATATCTTCCCACGTCATCTTCCCTATAAAATAACTTCGCCTTATATTCCGGTGAACAAATCGACCAATAACGGAACCTGAACAGGTTTCTCTCTTCCTTTCTTAGACATTACTGGGCCGGGATTCTTTCGTATTTCAATCGAGAACGTCGAGTATAGTCTTTCTTTCCTCGGCACAGGTTTTATTGGATGGTGTGGAAATATCGAAGTTGAACGTTCAGTGGCTCCGTTCGCACATAGGCGTGGTCGGTCAGGAACCGGTGCTCTTTGACACAACGATACGGGAGAATATCCGTTACGGAAATGATAGTATTACCGAAGAAGAGATGATCAAAGCCGCGAAGGAAGCGAACGCTCATGACTTCATCAGCAAACTGCCAGAGGTGAGTGGCTCTCAAACCGTTTCTCTTATTCCGCAGCCGTTTTCTTTGACCGGCTCCATTTAATTTCAGTTTCCTTTAGAATAATAACTGAACTGGCCGCGATAGGCGGCGTTGAATTGATTCGACTACAACTTATGATTCTAAATAATACATAATAATCTTTGTCTGACTAAAATTCATATTAAAGTTTAATATAACGATTTGGTTTCCTTTCTTTTTGTCAAGATCGTAATTTAATCGAGACCACGGTTTTTGCCATTTCGTGTCGATAAACTCGCGTAACACCGTGTGTTAACGATCCGAGATATCCGATTAGTTACATGCATTAACAATAGTCTCAGGTGCGAGCAACGAATCGCGGGAATACGCGCGTGTACGCGGATGATAAAACATCCGGTAAACCGCGACCGAAACGAATAACAGTATCCCAGATTACGGCCGCATCAGCGATTAGGCGTTTATTACTGTATTTTATCGAGAGCCGATGGTTTCGTCCTAGCTTCCCCGTCCAGCCTTTTACGCGTTGTGCCTCGTGACGCGTTTAGGGTGGTAACGATCCGGGAAAACAAGGGCTCCGACATTTGCCAGTTTACGGCGAGCGCGGCTTATTTTACGGTGCGCCGAACCGCGATGGCGTGAAATTTAATCCAGGGGAAAATTAGAAAGAAAACCGTAGAGAATTAGAAAACGTCGTCTCGTTCAAGTTATTCGCGTCGATGGAAGAACGAGTTGAATTATGCGAGCGAATGCATTAGTGAAATTGAATTCGAAGCATCGCGAGATTCTAATAAGTCAGCAAAAAGGATACAGCGTTGATTTAGGATACCCCTAAGATTTTATTGTTTCATATGTGGAACGTCGTTAATGACGATCGTTAAAATGCGTTACGTACGGCGCGCAAAGTGCTCTTCCTCGTAAATTTATTAAATCTCGACGCGCGCGCGTTGCACGTTGCTCTGTAGACGCGACGCGTCCTACGGCCGCTATAATTAAATTATCGTTATTTCAAGCCACGGACACCTCGACGTACGGTAATCAAATGGTAAAATTGTACGTAGGTATATCCTCGATTATCAATGAAAATGTGGCCAGAGCTGAAATCATTTAACGAAAAATTGTCCCGCTCGGGACAGACAATGTGCACGACTTTTAAACTTTGTGCCTATTATCTTTGACCTTATAACCACGAGATCTGCATTTACTCTGTATTTTCATTCTTGCCTACTTATTAGAAAACAATGAACAAGCTTTCAAACGAGAAGTTATTGTTTCCAGTCTTACGAAAGTCCCGTGGGAGAAAGGGGATCACAAATATCTGGTGGACAGAAGCAGAGGATCGCTATCGCTCGAGCTTTAGTTAAACGTCCAGCTATTCTTTTACTGGATGAAGCTACTTCCGCCTTGGACCTCCATAGCGAAGCTACCGTGCAAAGAGCTTTGGACGCCGCCGCGAAGGGTAGAACGACGATCGTTGTTACTCACAGACTATCAACGATCACGAACGCAGACAGGATAGTGTTTATAAAAGATGGTCAAGTGGTCGAGCAAGGGACGCACGAGGAACTGCTGGCGCTTAAGCAACATTACTACGGGCTGGTCTCCGCCGATGCAAGTGCCATCGCGAAAGGTAATCCTAACAGTATTTTCATTAGAAAAAACTTGTTCTATTTGAAATAACACCAAATGGAAATGGGTAATATCGAGAGTGAAATAATGAAATAATTTCTAGCGAAAGCAACGGCTTCGGCTGCAAAGACGGTCACCGCAGCGATACCGAAGCAGAAACCACCACCACTCAAGAGGCAGTTCTCTACACTGTCGATGCACTCACATCGGTTATCGTTGGCCGGCGCGTCCGACACTTCGGGAAATGAACTGGAGGAACACGAGAAGGCCTACGACGCACCACTGATGAGGATATTCAGACTCAACCACCCGGAATGGCCTTTTAATTTGATCGGTACGAAAACTCACTTAATATTCTGTTTAACCAAAAGAAAGATCAGAAAATAATTTTTCGGCTGGATAGCTCAACTTTTATAAGCTCAGCAGATTGAGGAGAAGAAATTTCTATGTTGCAGGTTGTTTCGCGGCAGCGATGGTTGGCGCCTCGTTCCCAGCGTTCGCGGTTCTCTTCGGTGAAGTTTACTACGTCCTGGGTCTCCAAGACGAGGACGAGATACGCCGCGAGACGATCAACTTCTCGATTCTGTTCCTGATCGTCGGCGTAGTCACCGGTGTCGGCACTTTCTTGCAAATGTACATGTTCGGCTTGGCCGGCGTGCGTATGACCACTAGGCTCCGGAAAATGACTTTCGCCGCGATGCTCAAGCAAGAGATGGGTTGGTACGACGAGGACACGAACAGTGTGGGCGCGCTGTGCGCTAGACTTTCCTCCGATGCGGGTGCCGTCCAGGGTGCCACCGGGACGCGCGTGGGCGCGATTCTTCAGGCATTGTCAACCTTGGTCCTCGGAATCGGATTGTCTTTGTACTACACCTGGAAAATGACGTTGGTCTCGGTGGTGTCGATACCTCTGGTGTTAGGCGCGGTGTTCCTCGAAGCCAGGGTGATGAGCGGTCAAGGGTTACAAGAAAAGAAGAAGATGGAGGCGGCTACGAGGATCGCCATCGAGGCGATTTCGAACATCCGCACGGTGGCCAGTCTTGGGAAAGAGGAGGCGTTTTTGCAGCGTTATTGCGTCGAGTTGGAGCACGTTGCCAAGGCGACCAGGATCCGAAACAGACTAAGAGGATTGGTATTTTCGTGCGGTCAGACGACGCCGTTCTTCGGTTACGCTCTGAGTCTCTATTATGGTGGCTCGCTGGTAGCCACGGAGGGTCTGAGTTACCAGAACGTGATCAAGGTCTCGGAGGCGTTGATCTTTGGTTCGTGGATGTTGGGACAAGCTCTCGCTTTCGCTCCGAACTTCAACACTGCCAAGATTTCCGCCGGAAGGATATTCAAACTCTTCGACAGGGTTCCGGAGATCAGCTCGCCACCGGGTTCGGAAGACAGAGATCTGGATTGGGTGAGTGATCGATTTACGTTCTTTGTTGTTTGAAACGTTGGACGTTGGAACAAAAGGCGCGTTACGAATGAATCGTATCTCGTGGATTAGAACACGAATTATTGAATCATCCCACGGGTAATTCGTATCAAGTATCTGACGGCATCGCGCGTCGGATAGGATTCTCGCAAAGCAACCAATTTCGACATTTCATTACGACCTGTTTAGCAAAGCGTCGACTTTATGACGTACTGACAGCGATGCCTCCGGCAGCGCGCGTTAATTACGCTTAAAACAGGATGCTACGTTTGATCGTGGCCGAATAGAATTCCCAGAATATACGTAGAACAATTCCTGTAGGATTTCAGACCATTTGATAAGCCGATAGGGATTGATCAATCTGCTCAAAGTCTATCGAGCGTTTTACAAGCTGTCCGTTGTAATAATCAGAATTGTAAAAAGGAATCGTCGAATAATTTTGTTTTACGTCACGTGATCTCGATGAATGATTGCAGAAGGCGGACGGGTTGATCCAATTCTCGAAAGTCGAGTTCCACTACCCGACGAGACCCGAGATGCAGATCTTGCAGGGTTTGAATCTGATCGTGAAGCCGGGTCAGATGGTCGCGTTAGTGGGCCAGAGCGGATGCGGCAAATCCACCTGTATCCAACTGTTGCAACGATTGTACGATCCACTTTCGGGCACCGTGACGATGGACCGTCGCGACATCTCGTCGGTCTCGCTGCGGAATCTGAGAACGCAGCTTGGTGTCGTCGGCCAGGAACCGGTACTCTTCGATCGTACGATCGCCGAGAACATCGCCTACGGCGACAACTTTAGGGTGGTGCCGATGGAAGAAGTCATAGAAGCCGCCAAGAAGTCGAACATACACAGCTTCGTCAGCTCTCTACCACTAGTGAGTATAACTGTATTCTCCATATACGCAAATTATGATGTACACGAAAAATAGTAATTGTTATTATCATTATTTATCGACAAACTGATGAAGTACTTGTTCATATATAAGAAAGAGGAATAAATCATTACTTTTTAAAATCTGAATAGATTCACTACAACTTTTTAAGACGTTGACTTGTTCTACTGTATCGTTCAGATAATGACTTATTCTACTTGGACTTTAGTTCGTGATTTTTTCATTGAAATGAACTGAGAATAAGCAGATGTTCGATTTTTGTTACAGGGGTATGATACTAGGCTAGGAACTAAAGGTACGCAATTATCCGGAGGACAGAAACAACGTATCGCCATCGCGCGGGCCTTGGTCAGAAATCCTCGAGTCTTACTGCTGGACGAGGCCACCTCTGCCCTTGATACTCAGAGTGAAAAGGTAAGAACTCTTCGTCGATTTATGTACAAGATGCCTAATGTAGCCATTTGCATAAATTTGTCTTGGAGTCTACTGGATCGATTCGAGATAAGAAATGTTAAGATAAAAGAGAAACTGGAGCTCGAGGAGAAACGCCTAACCGCGGGCTACCAGAAAAATGGGTCGCGAAAATCAGGCTGGAAATAGACGGGGACGCGCATTCAGTAATGTAATTTGCGCTTTTTCGCTGCGGACGGAAAGACGGTTGAAAAAATGACCAACCGCGTCTTCCTCTCTCGAGGGGCCAAAAGAAGTGCGAGGAATTTCTCGCGAGGACAAAAGCATCTCGCGTTCCAGTCTCGCCGCGGCATTGTTTCACTCTCGCGTCCAATTAACAGCCTCGTAACTACGGAGACCGGTTTTTCGCGGCGATTATTCAACGCGACGATCGCCCGGAATTTCGCGATGATATTCATTAAAGTTGATCCTATTAAAAATCAGAAATCATACTCGTCGACACCATCCCAGGAAGCTTCAACGGTAAATGGTAATCCCTTCTTTTAACTTCGGGAGAACTGCAGAAAATACGACTGATGGAATCGTCGATATTTTTTGTATCATATTAAATGAAATTATATCCACACGCGTTTATAGTAAACGACGATATTAGGACAGTTTGCCGCATATAGTAGTAGCGGCGGACAATGGAAACTTGAGTGACGGTTGCGTCGCACACTACCGTCCCGGTTGATGAATATTAATGGATCCTGATGGATTTTAATGAACAATACTAGCAAAAAATGCGAGAACCGAAGCAGGCGAAAAAGAATTACCGTGGTCCAGTTGCCCGCATTACATAATGGAACAGACGCACTTTATATGGTAATGCGTATCCAAAAAATAAAAAATTCATGTTTTGCCTCAGACTTTATCAAAATTCTATCTCTTCGTGAACGGGCAGGGAGAAAAAAAATCAGTGATCGGTTTGCAATTTGCGATTCGATTGAATTTTCTTTTGTCGAGAAACGCGATTGGGTGTTCGAAAGGTCCTCGAGTGATTATCCAGGCTCGACGCTTAATTCTCCGATCCACGAAGATCGATTATTCCAGCCCGGCTGCCGGTCCTCTCGAAATTGACAACAATCGGGGTCAACGCAACAGTATTATCTATGGTAACAATCGGAAATAGCCGGTCCAGCCGGGCGTGTGGCATTGGTGCCGCGTTCAATTGTTGGTTCCCGCGAATGGGAAGTTGGACTCGACCAAACGAATTTCGTGGCAATTATTGTCTCGCGGTTGCTTCCGAGTCAACATGTTCCCCTCTTTGTTTTGTCGATCTTTACTAGAAAATGGACCGATCGCATTTCATCAGCACTGTATTGTATCAAATTTTCCAGTGACACGTATAACGTAACACGATAAACAAACATGGAACTATCACGTACTTCGAATTTGACAGCACAGAGTATCGCGCTCACTCACATTATTATACCACCCCGTTGCATTAAACAAAATTTAAAGAATCTTAAGTCGATGTTCGACAACGTTATTTTTTACAGGTGGTGCAAGCTGCTCTGGACAAGGCAATGGAAGGCAGGACGTGTATCACCATAGCGCATCGTCTGGCCACTATAAGGAACGCCGATGTGATCTGCGTGCTTGAGAAGGGGCTCGTCGCTGAGATGGGTACTCACGACGATCTGATCGCAGCAGACGGTCTGTACGCTCATTTGCACGCTCTTCAAGAGGCCGCGATGGAGTAGTCTCGAGCTTCGAGCCGCGTCCAGTCGACGCTCACTCGGGGCTGATCGCTCCCGCGGAAACGGAAATGTACGAAAAGAGTATTTTCCGTGAGAGACGCGTCAGCCCCGGCCTGCGAAGCACGCAGCAACAAATGGATGAACTCCGACACGAGAGTAGGACATACAGATATATCCCCGACGAGAAAGCTCTAGGAAACACGCGCGTCAGGGCTTTTCGTACGGTTTTCAAACATTGACAAATGCTTCCTTTGTTTTCTCAGTTGGATTCCCTGACCCTACGAAAAAAAAAACTTTCTTCATAGTACTTCGCTACAGTAATAGTTTCTTTCGCGATTTTACTTAACCCGCGTCTTCGGCGCGCTTCCTCTTCGCTGAAGATCATCTTCAAAGGACAAGAGAAGTTTTCGTTCATAGCGGACTTGAATATTATTATATATAGATATCTTGTCGATATTTACTTTGCTCTATATACTAACTTAAACGTCGGAACGCTTGCGTCGTCACGGTGCTCGTCTGTTTTACCTTGCCCACGTCTCGTTCGCGAACGTGAGCAGCCGAGGTACTCGTGTATTCGAAACCGGAAACCGCCCTGTTTCCCGCTTCGTGCATTCAGTCTCCTTGCTACAAACGATAAATCGCAACGTTTCCGATAATACCAAGAAAACGTAAGGAACACAAAGCAATTTTCTCCGGAACGATATATCCCGTTCTTCGTTTTCGTTTCGTCGTTACGTGCGGTCTTTTACGGATTTGCAGCGCGCCGCGAACAAGATTCCGTTCGAGGTCACGTAGCCGCGATCAGATTCGATGTACGATCCGATCTCCTGAACGACTCGTTATCGGTTGAGAATACCAAGCCGAGGGTTGCCGCGAGTAGCCGCGAACCCGAATATTTGTCGATCAAGGGAACGCGCCGAAAATCGAGGAACGCATGCATCGAATTAAACGGAAACGAATAGACGCCTCGGAAAACGTAACCGTTGCCTGCCATTTTGTTCGTCGACAATTCCGGTCTAAACTCGAATGAAAAATGTATGAACGTTACTCCGGACACGGGCAGCCACCTTGCCCTTTCCTCCGCCACCCTTGCTCGCAAAATGTAATCATTCTCCCGTTAGCCGTTCTATCGCGCCCGAAGTTCCTTTCGACTCGGGGCGATCTATCCAGAATATAAAAAAAAAACGTCAATTGTGTCTGAACGGGTGAACGTTAATAGAAATCGTTCAGTATTCGTGCCTTAGCAGTTATCGTGCTCCGTGTTCAACTAAGAAAACGTGATAGTAAGACGCGGGAGGGTGAGCAGAGGACGTGGGGGCCAATGATTAGAATCTTCACACGCCTGGAATTGAAGTAACGGCTGCTCGAACGAAACACGTAGTCTGAAAATGTTCGGAAATTTTTGTACGCTCTACAAACGAGCGTGCAATTCGCAGAGGCGTTTCCGGGCGTCGAGGACACCTCCGATCCGGCGGCTGGATTTCTATGGTCGAACTCCGCGACGTATACTTTTCCCGAACTTGTGCCTTCATACTTGGTATATTTAGTGATAAGATTCCGGTGGCTGGCTCTAGAGACATGCCAGCGTGAACCGATCACGTGCGACACGCGACGCGAACGCGCTAAAGTATTTTTCAAATAATCCCTCTATTCCCGATTCGAATCTTTAAGCTGATCTTTCGAAACGTGCGTCAGCTTAGAAATAACGGAGTAACTATCTTTATACTATCATATTCAATATCTGTACGAAATATCAAATATATAAACGTAACAGTTAAATTGTATTCGCGTGAGCGATCGCCGAGTCAATAGTACTTAATTTACCTCGCGATCGAAGGGGGAAGCCTATGATCAACTTTTACGATCGGTACCGAAATACAATGCTTTTACTATATTTCATGCGACAATACAAATACGTAGCCGTAGAACGTGTTCGAGCCAGGGAACGAGCGTTTCGCGATCACGAAATGGCGTTCTGATGTTCGCGAGTCCAGCGCGAGGAGGCCGGTCGTCACCTGAGGGACTCCGAGCCTGTACTCATTTTCGCGTACTTACCCCGCCAAGCGGGTCGGTGAGAGAACGAATAGACACAATCAGCGACGATTATCATTAAATCGAACTCACGGTTTTAATCACTGCTCGCGATTCGGACAAATCAAATCTCAAAACCGAACCAATTTCAGTCAAAATTGAGCTTAAAAGTCATACACTTTTCATAAATTGTAAGATCGAGCACTTAACGACAGAGTGAATGAAATTGTCAGAAGCGAACGTGCGCGTATGTCTGTGTGTGAGATAGAGAGAGATTTTAGTTCGTAAAAAATTCCAAAATCGTTACTTAAGACTAAGGCTGCGGCAGAGATCTTAAAAACAATAAATAGTGCAAATTACGTGAACGAGCGATCGCTTGGTTCAACACGTGTGTGACTTAAAGAAGGGGAAGGAGAACAGCATTGTGTGGTTATTTTCTTTCTTTCTTTCTTTCTTTCTTTCTTTCTTTCTTTCTTTGTTCTTCGTTTCCTTTTTTCATACATCGAAAGCGTGTCGAGTTACAATTATACACCGATTACTGTGCAGTAACGACAAAGAGGAAGTATTAATTTTTTTTTCTTGTTATACAAACAGATGGAGCAGAACGTACAGCTGCTGGCATTATACAAAATAAAATGAAACATAGTAGAAAAAAAAATCAGTGATCTCTTTCTATGAATGTGTTACCAAAAGATAACAAAATCATTCCGTTCGATTCATCCTGTCCATCCTGCTTTCCAATCTGCTCCTCTGATCTCATTCTGTAAAAGCTCTCTTCCAAATTATATGGGAATTTCATTCGGGAACTACTCTAAACGCACCAAAAACGGTTCTCGCTTTGTAGTTTGAAGGATGGAAGAGTGGCACACGGATAAGTCGAGGGTTCATATTATAGAAGCGAGCACTAAGTTCGAAGGTGCCCGGCAAGTTTGCGAAGCGCGGCAGTTTTTGAAGAAACTTTTCGAACGTAAATACATAGTCAACGGGTTCGATGGATCGGTGCTGGTTGACAAAGACCAGCCGCGGACGTTTCCGTCGACGAGAGACGTGGGGGGGGGGGCGAACAGAGGGAAGGGAAATGCCGCGTGTTGGATAAAGAAGTTTCTCAGCGCGGCGAGGAAAGCTGATTTATTACTCCAGGGGGGGAATAGGGGCTCGGGGGGCGGGAGGATTCCGCCTGCCAAGTGTATAACGCGTCGGAACTTGCAAAATTATTCCAGCGAGTTCTCACACAGGGTGGTGGCCGTAACCGAAAACGGGAGAGGACACACGACGTCTTAATTGTTCGAGGCACGCAGCGCGCGCTCAGTGTTCGCGCTTGAAAGAGGATAATTGGGGGAGACGCGGCTCGTCGTTAACGCCTTGTAAACCGGATTAGTAGCGTTCGCCCGATAAAACGTCACTTTGCCCTTTTATCGCTTACCCGCTCGCTGGAATCTATGCGCAGGCAGTACCGCGTCGCGCCACCGGGAATAATTCATACCACGCGACGCCGGAAGTGCACCCTCCCTTAATCTCGTTCCACCCACTTCTCGTAAACCGTACCCGACGTCCGCACACTATAATTTTTTCTCTCTATCGTGCATGCGTTAACGTCCCAGTTGGAATACTACAGGAAAAGGAAACGACGAAAGAAACGTGCACAATGTTCGGGTGCAGTATCGTATTTGTTATAACGATTGAACGTAATCGATTTAAATATTTTTCAATTACTTTTACGATGCATGTTTCGTTTTTCGTTAATAACTTAAATAGAAAATGCTAATTAATAACCAGTGGACTCGTTATAGTAGATTAGAACGTCATTCTTTCATGACCAACTTATAAGTGCATAATCATGCTAAAGGATTAATTTGTTAAGTAATCCATTGGGAGGGAATGCAATTGCGATAATTACGTTAGAACTTCGTCGACTTTGTTCAGCTTAGTCGAAACGGATCCATCGTTTGCCTTTTTTGATGAAGAAACGCGTTTCCTTCTTTAGCCAGAAAGAAACGATGAAAGCGGCTTCTTCCTTGTCAAACCACGTTTTTCATCTCGGTAAAAGCGAGCACGTTCGGGGCCACGGGATAAAAAGACATCGGGAATCCACGGGACGTAGTCGCTTTAATCCGGCGACGATTAGCATTCACAAAGGAAGCTTGCCCTTTGTTGCACCGAACAGTCACGACACCGGAATCGCAGGGTAACTGTTGAAGTTTTGCTAAAAAGCGAGATCGTAACTGGGTCACGAAGAAGACGTTGATTAAACGTGTATATGTAGGCGACGCATTGATAAAAGAAATTCATCGCACAGTATTCACGGTGCCAAGTACACATTCTCAATAATCACTTCTTTTACGATGCATGTCTGATTACACAAACTTTACACGGTTGAGAGGGTGCATTCTACACGGACTTCTTTCGTATCATAATTACTGCCATTTTATACTGATAATTACCACTTGAGTACGACATATCTGCGAGTGTTCCTTCGTGAGATCTTAAATGGAGGGAAAGGTGCAAAATAAAAGGAATCATCTTACGAGTGAAAATTTGTTTGATTCAATTGCATAATTCTAACTTTAGAGATGGACGCAGTGAAATGCAGGAAGGGTTGGGAAACGGAAACAGGGAATCTGGCAGGGGCTGTGCGAGTGAAGTACGTACCTCGTGGGCCGCCAGATGCATGTAAATCAGCATAAATTGTGGCAGGGTATTTCGTACTCAGCCCGCGTTGTCAGTGCGTTGCAGATTAGCCAACGTGTACGCAGTGCGCACGAACGAGCTGCGGCCCGCGATGCGCCTTGCGCTATTTACAAGAGGGAGAGGCTCGTTTGCTAACGTGCAATTCACTTTGTCCGACTACCTTTTTTTTTTTTTCAACAGAAAAGTGAGAAAACTTTTGCGAAAACGAAATTGTTGCTCACGAAAGGCACGTCGCCGGACAGAGACCCGATTCCTTCCTCTTTCCTAGTTATTTCTTTTTGTTGGAAAAAAGAATTTGCTTTGAGCCGCGGTTTGCATTTTACCGCGGACCGCAATGTAACGCTCGCGCGCGGACAGAATTTATTTAAATCCTGCGGATCCCGCGGAAACAAGATTTCCTACGGTATTGTTGCGTCACTGATTCCGCGGCCCGATAAGATTCGCGAATGTCTTTACAGTTCCGTACGCTTCAGAGAGGAATTTATTCGATTCTGGAGTTTATTTCAAATGAACAATCCCAGGCGTCGTTTAAGGTTACATATTCCTAATTTTTTTCGATTGTACCTTTGATGGTGCCTACAATTTCTGTACAACAAATTTTTCGCTAGCGTCAATAATTAATTAATAAATACAATTGTTTATTGCAAAAGCTTTTTCCTAGTGAAAAATGCTTCAAACGAAAGTCGTATCTCTAGTTCTTAGCGATTATCGACTGTGTTTTGAGCCCCATTGGGCCCCCCATTCGCTGTCCCAACGATTACACGGGCCACTCTCTAATAGTAGTATCTCCACGGTGGTAAAATGTAGATTTTTCGTATCCCAAGAATTTCCAACGAATTGAATTCCTGCCAGTAGAGCGCAATACAGCGCGAGAAACGTTGGGAAATATCTCTTCGGATGGTTTTGATATTTCATTCTCTGCCGAAGCCTCTGTTGAAATTTCGCGGTACTAGGAACGCGAAGCACGCCGTTTTTCGGGATCCGACGAAACAGTATTCTGACGAGCTTTAATTTCGCGTAACTCAAATCTAATTTTTACATGAAAATACGGTATGTGTAATCGACTCTAATTGTTTCGCCTGTTTGGTGAAATTCCAAACGTTATTTTCGTTATTTACCTGATGCGTAAGGCGGAAATGCATTAAACATCATTTACTCATGATATAAATGTTTCTCGTCGGTAAACATTTATAATCGAGGCAGGAATATTGTTATTTGCTCTCAATTAATGTGTATAATTAAAAACGCATCCCTTAATACAAACTAATGAAATGTTTGTCGTTCCGCATGCGCTCTCGTGAAAATTAAAAAGTCATAAAAAATCGTTTCGAATCAAGTTTTCGATGTTTCCTTGTAAATAGGGCGATCCGCAATGCTCGACGATAAATCCACCGCTTCGTCGGCTGTTTATCACTCCGGAGGTAGAAAAATATCTGAACGTCGATTACAGGACTTCGGTCGCGGCAAGATTCATTGAATTCGCGTGTGAGGTACACGCAAAGGAGATGAATTCGATGCAAAATTGCAGCTGCGAGAGGGGGCACCGATGGGAAATTTATGAGACACAACTCGATCCAGAAGCGGCCACATAACTCTAGACATCTGTCTCTGTTTCGGTATCTGCTTCTCTGTGATATTTGTATAAAAAGACAATTTGTTTATTTGTCGAGCCTCACAGCTGCTTAGCATTATTCTTCCGACGTCTGATTTCTTTTTAATTATAGGAAATGCGTTTTTCTAAGGTACATAAACTTTTGGGATTGACTGTATAGACAATACATTCTTAAATTAGAAAATCGAGTGAGCCTGAGCCGCTGTTGTTCTGTTTAATAAAATTATTTGTATAGATATACTTTAAATATTCGATGTATATCGGTTCGGTATTGTTTGCATTGTGCATACATAATCGTGGTAGGGGGAAAGGGATACGGTGAATACGTTCGCATAAAGCATGCATTAAAAGCCATCGTTCGAAGGTTAATTATTCACAGTATTTAGTTGCGCGAGGGCGATTTCGTCAACATAATGCGCAAAACCGTCATAAATATTCATGGCCTTGTTAATATTCATGAAACCCGGTACCGAACGGAACGAAGGGCGCTCCGATCGAAAAGAATTCCTTCCCGATAGCGCATACGACGAGGTCGCAAATACCGTCACGCTTCGATATTAACGTTTAGATGTTCGTGGATAAAATTGCTCAGAAACGAGTCATGTCAGTGTCTAAAACCATTAAGAACAAACGTAACTGTAACGTAACGTACAAAGCCGAGGTTTGTTCGTCGGAGCGTACGCCGTTAGACGAACTGACAACCGAGAGCGGGCTCGACGCGAGACGAGCACTAATTTCCATTAATCTTGACGAAGACAAGGGGAGATAATCGATAATATCGTCGGGATATCGACTTCCAATCTGGGGATCGTCGTGTGTGACCTCCGCCGTGTACTGTGACGGCAAGAACAAAGGTGCTTATAATTCATGCGGCGGCAACCTGTAGAGAATCAATCGCAACAGGACCTGAAATAGATTATGAACCATTCCGATGTATCGCCTGCTGTTTCTATCGCGATTGACGTCACGCGACGTCTCTTAATGCCTCGACGACGATGTTTCGCGGAAGCAATTTAAACTTCCCTGACGCACGGGTGGAATAAGGTTCGTAGCAGGTAAACGAAGAAACTGGAATAAATTTTTGAGCGACTCGTTGGAACGGAGAGAGGACGGCCTGGAATGATTTTAGCAAGATAATGATAAGTACGAAGATGGAGGATCCGAGTTGCGCGGCGACCGTCCATTAAAATTAAAGTGTCATTACGCGAACGCAACGGGCAACCCGTTTGAGAAACTCGAGGTGTTTTCGGCGTTGCACGATTTCAACGAGCAGAGAGTTAACGGGTACGGTATAATGGAGAGGGGAAAGTTTCGGAGCAGAGTGTGCTCACATTTTCGTCGGAAATCAGATTAGCTACTCGCTGAAAGAAATATGCTCGTCGTTGTCTGCGTTTGCTCGTACAAAACTTTTCTCTAATTATCTTTGGGACATTTCAATTATCACGGTTTTGTTCTGTTGTCCTGTCCAACTGCCGTTTCACCGAGTAACGAGCATTGATCAATATTGACATTGTCAATAATATCGATAACGAGCTAAATGTAAAACTAGTGTTCTGAAATCTCGGAAATATATATAAGACGTTGATTTCCCAGACTGACAAATGAACGTTTTCGTTACTAATGGACCGTTGCACAAGAGAATATGGATGGAAGCGAAACGGCGTTGCATATAAAAGCATCGATTCCCAATTTCCTTAGGTTAATTCATTTGAATTCGAACCTGTTTACGCTTAAATCGTTTGCAAGCCGTCACCGGGCTCGACGTTGACCCAGCTTGTTTCCTCTCGGTCGGATATTTCCGTCCTGAACGTTTTGAAATGTTAAATTTCGTCGAAACTGGGCCGAACCGTAGGGAAAACACTGTTACTGGAATGACAGTAATAGTAACGACGATAGCGACTACAGAAGTTCGTTCGTTCGTATGAAATAACCATCGTGGCAAAGCGGAGATACTCTCGACGCTGGGACACGGTGGTAAAAATATCTGGAGTATCGCGAACGGTTTTTAATCAAAGGTGTGCTCGATAGCGAGCAACGCTTTTCAATTAAACAGTAAATTGGTGCGAAGAGGTGCTGGTGATCGACGAATCGATCGCAGTGATCCACTTTCTTTGAAATCCCGATATCCGTAGCAGGTGTCCGAATTACCGTAATCGCGTAGCTACGCTCGACGCGTGGCTGCAAAATATCCGACAATTTATGTTTTAATGACGAATATGCAGTGTCACGGATTGCTGCGTCTTTTTATACCTTCTGCTCTTTTCATCTGTTTTTGTTTCCTCAATTTTGTTGACAATCCAGAGAGAAATTTGCGAGCCGGTACAACTGGGATTGAAAATTTTGTTTCTACACATACAATTGCACCCAGTGTCAATTATGCGACACAATGCCCTTTGTCTTCTTTTTGCCAAAATTAACGCTTGTTCAGGCATGCATAATAATGCAAATAGTTACCTGATAAATACTCCTTTGATATACTGATATTCATTAGATCGGTATTGTTCATTCCTTTCAACGTGTTTACTAACCTACATAATTATCCATTTAAACTCACTGGCATTACTTGCGTTAATTTCCAAAAATTTAGGGTACAATACACTTCGCTCTCGAGCACGTAACAATTTATCAATTACGTGCATTAAACAGTTACAAGAAAAAATAAATTATATCAATCTATAAATATGAGTATAATGCGATTTATTTAATATTTGTATTGGAATCATGAATTTGAATATTATCTAGCACGTTGATTTCTTTAGATTAATTGAATTTATTACGATTAAAAAAAATAATATTTATCATGATCATGGTATTTGTAATTAATAATTAATCGCGTTCGTTTAATAATCAATCATTATACGAGAATTGTTTTGCGAAAATGTTTAGACGCGTTCGTTGAAAATTATCGCGATCGTGACGAGGTTTCATAAGGGAGGAAGGAGTCGTAATAACTGTCGAAGTCGTCAAAAAGTTGGCCGGAATCGCGGTCATTGTTTCCAAATGGAAACGTCTCCGTCGCGTTGTCTGCTCGGCTACTGCGGCTAGATTGAAATTCCTTTCCGTTTCTGCGCGGCTCTTCTTCATTCGCTGATCCCGATTTCAGATTTCCTCTTTCGGCAACGATCGCGAGAAAGTTTTGATCGCCGTCACTGCTCGGACGAATTCTCCGACGTGTCGGAATTGATGATTGAATTCTGCGCCGGGGCCGCCAACGAATAGGAAGGAAGGTCCTCAAAGTTTGCCTAGATCTCACGGCATCATAAATCAGACACCTCGCATCGTTTCACCATTACTTTCGTAAATCTGTGATTTTTCTGCCCCTGAATTATACATACATTATATTCGTGAAACTGAAAGTTTTCGGCAGATACATTTTCATATAATCAATTATTCAGTTCGTGCAATTCGTTCATTATAATAGAATTTCATGAGAATAGAATATAATGAATTGCAATGAGGATAACAATAAATTCAACTGATTTTACTAGATAGTCGAGAGTTCACAACGCTTATTATATAATTAAGAATGAACCTGAATATTTTCCAACGAACAATGAAGTCATGTTTAACCGGCTTGAGTGTTTAAGTGGATTGCTAATCCTTCTCAGTTTGAATAAATAATTCCCAAATAATAGAATTTTGTAGTGGATAAAGAACAATGAAGATGATCGCGTGGTTCTCGCCCAAGAGTAATTAATTGTGGGTTTCAGGTAACCGACGGGATAAGCAGACCGTCCCTTGGACGTTCCCTAGAAAATTCTGGAGACGCGCCAAACGAAGGGGTCGTCAGGAGGGCGGAAAATCGTGTAGTTTTGCGGCATGCTCCGCACTGCTAATGGAAACCTTCCACCATCGTGGCGGGGAATTTTGCGAATTATTCAACGCTTTTTAATATTCCTGGATGTACCTTAATTTTAATAGAAAACATCGTCGACCGAAATATTCTGACCACGGTAAAACTGTTCCGTGCATCAAACCGACGTTTTCATTCGACGTTTGATCGCGTAAAAATTTGAGATCGGAAAATCCGGTGGGGATCTTCGCGTCGTCGAGTTTAACACGATTAACTAACCTTCATATCGGAATAAAAGCTTAATAGCGCCTCTAATGCGCTTGTCGCTGGATTCCTGATAAGGAAAACGCTCGAGTTTCGCAGGAAACACTTTCTCGAAACCGAGTTCCGGGAGATCCCGGCACGACCCGAAATTCCGGGCCATCTTGAAATTGCTAGACCTCCGCCGAGCTGAGGAGGGTCTTGGAATTTTAGTTCTAACATTCACCGAGGGCAGAGTCAAAGAAAGTATCTGTTTACGAAACTCTGATTAAAAGGAGCGTCGTTGTGTACGGATGACGTTCTCCGGTTTGATGAGTTAATTAAAAAAATTGACTTTAATCGAGTTGGAGCTCTCATTACTTTTATCCCTCGTTTTACTCAATTTCCGGCTCGTTTCAGCGAGTAATTGAGATCGCAGCCAGCGCAGCTACTTCTCGTAAACTTTCTTTCACTCGTTCGTCGATTTATTAATTGAATCGCGTTAGCACCTCATTCAGTGTCCGGACAAAGTACAAACATCGTTCCTCTGTCGAGGAAGTCGTAGCAACAGGTTCTCAACGGGTGAAGAACAAATATTGCGATGGAAATCGTGTCAAAGTATGAAAAAGAAGGATTAGGGAGGAGAACTGATAAAAACTAAGTAAAAAGTGGATAATTTCGAAAGAACAATTTGGTTGCGCTTGAATACGACTGCGCTTAACCCAAGATGGAAAGAGTCGTGGAAAACTTTCCACCTTCCGCGTTTAAAGCGATTCAAAGCCTTATCGCCGGGGCGAGCGGCGGTGGATCTCGAGTTCGGAAGCGTATTCTAGAGTAAAAACCGTAGTCTGTGAGACTACTGCCCCCCCGTCTGTAGGATGGAGGGAGACAGAGAGTTTTGTTTCGTAGAACAGAACGCGAGAGCGTTTAATGGAAGTTCCGGATACGATCCATTACAGATATTCAACAAGCTCGAGCTGAGAAGAAGAAGAAGAGAAACGGAAGAAGAAGGCCGAAACTGGGTCACAATCGTGAGCAAAGGGAACGAGATAAATCTCGAGACGCCGTTAAGGTGCGTTTAAACGGACAAGAATACATGCAAGACAGTCATCGAATAAATTCTATTTGAATCCTTTTTTTTTTGTAAAAACATCCTTGCACTGGACATAAAACGCGAATGTATGAAGTGATTCGAACGTGAACGCAATGAATGTGATAAATTCCATGGTAGGAATAGTTTTATAACTGGCAAAAGAAAATACTGAATCGAAATGCACCTTCAGTCGTTCCTCGAAGGAATCGATGATCTCTCTAGAGTGGTCGCACGGGAGAACGTCGAACGGAGACGGGGGAAAGAATCGCGGGACGCGAGCGCGAAGCGAAACTTGGCGAAGCTTTAAAAAAGTTGCGCCGTTCTGGTTCCCCGGAGAAATTTTCGGGCGGTCGTATCTTATCCGCGAGAATTTTCCTTCGCGAGAAGAAGCAGAGCTCGGTAAACAGATAAATCAGTGACACGGTAGCGGAGGGGCGCGGCGCCTCGCGCTGATTTCGCAGTTTCCGTCTTGCGCGTCAGGACTTCCGTCGCGGACCGTCCGATGAACGTCAAAACGCGAACGATGTTTCTTCGAGCAGAATAATTAATTTTAGCGATCGTCGAGAAGAGTCGTCGGACACGGTCGGGTCAGAGGATGCGGGAAAAAGTTCCCAGGAAAAGGACGTGATGCAAAACTGGCGAGTACGAATCCGGTTGGTAGAAAGGTGTAAAAGAGATCAAAAGCGAGATTAAAAAGTTTGAAATGCGCCGGATACGTGAAGAGACACGCGCTGTGCGATCGTACTGACTTTCTAGCAGTTTGTCACGACTCGCGAACATGTTCGTGATCAGCCTTAGGACGTATACTCATGATTAAAAGTAAATTGTAATTAGGAACGCAAATGAAAGCATTTCAGCGCAGTCCATTTTCATCTTTGCGTCCTCGAGCCATGTACATAAAAGGGATGATTAAAGTCCCAGCAATTAAAAAGGACAAACGCGGAATCATGAGCATGAGAATTGAAGCGAACTGAACGTACCGACGTAAATTCACGTGAGCGATCAAAATGTAAGCTTTGTCGGATGTTTCGAAACAGTGACGACGAAACGAAAAAGAGGTTAATATGTATAAACGAAATCGCTGCGAACGGTAACAGGATTTGAGATCGTTGCGGTTACCAGCAGGCAGTGGAACGCTGGTTTGCCGTTTCGTACGCCTTTACTACTAGCATCTGTCCGGCGTCGACCGTTACTACTACGAGCGTTCCCTTTATTACCGCGCGAGAGAGAGAAGGTAGAAGGAAACCGGGAAAGAAGTAAAAGGACACACGCTTGTCCTGGATAATCCTGCGAATTTATTCGACCGCTACTTCTTCGCTAAGCCATGGGGGAGGAAAAGAAGAAGAAGAAGAAGAAGAAGAAGAGGAAGAAGGAAGAGCAAACGGGACGAGGCCGGGAAGGCAGTCTTAAAGAGAGATCGCACAGTGGACTCGGGGGAGTCACATTTTTGCCACTTTACACGCGCGGCCATCCGACATCGGACCATCCTCCTGAGTATAGGTAGACCACGTGTGGAATCGGTTTTCAGTTTCGCGGGAGCCGGCTCGTATTTTACCCGTCGCTTTACAACCGCGCCCGGAAATAGGACGTAAAACGAAACCATAGGACGGACATTAAGGAGACGCGTTATTTTCTGGAAGAAACCTGGACATTCGAGTCAAAAAGAACGCGGATAAGTTACGACGAAATCAGGTTCGAAATGTGTTTGCAAATCCGACAAAGATTCGGTACCAAAAACCAAGTTCCGATTCACTAGATTGATTTTCTATTAAAACTGAGGACCGACGCAAATAATATAGTTTACGATTTTTCAATAATTCACGAGGGATTTTGGTATCGCTCGATAAATCGATTTTATTCCATAGTATTGTGGTTAGGTCACCGGGCGATCAATCACGTCCGACGGAAGAACTTTTTTGCTTTTTCACGGAACGAAAGTTATCTCCGATAAGGAAAGGAATCCATTGGCTGGATGTGGGTCAGTGGAACGTCCCGATGAAGTTCGGTCTGGAAACGTGCGGAATCCGGCTAGCGGGTTCGACCCGGGAGTATTTTTATAGCAGTAGTCCGTGAGGCTTCTCGAAATCCTGGCACGAAGCCAGTGCCGGGAATAAAATCGTGGTCGGCTAATCGGGGAAAAAATTTCCTTCGAGGAGAGAGGAAACATTTTTCCTACACCCCACGGGGCCGGTCTAATAAATTTTCCAACGCCCACACACGGCCTCTCAATTAATTGCAACGGTCCCGTTTCATCGCTGTGTACAGCACGAGATTCTCGTTCGCTTAATTAAGTGAAACGATTATTCTTTTTTTCCCCGCGATTTGAGAGAGGAAATATTATAGACGAACGATTGGAATTTTGAATCAAATGTTGGCTCGCCTGAAATTGCTCGTTTTTATTCATCGCAGTTTTCTCCGCGCGACTCGTTTTTCATCATGGCTTGATTTACGCAGGAACGAATCCGTAATTTTGCTTCGGTGCAAGTTTTATGAACCTTGCCGCAAGGTTGCCACCGTAAACACGCCATTCATGTTTTATCCCGTACGCTTCTTGGATACATTTCCGTTATTATTGCCATAAAAATCTTATCGTCAGATTAAAGAATATAAAGGAAAGCAGTTATGAAGCTCGCTCGAATGCAGATCGGAATATCTTACTCTTCGTGAAACATAATTTGTGCAAATGTTTAACAAAAATTTGTCCATGAACTCAAGAGCACACCTGTGGATTTTAGGATGTCGTTACGACACATGAACAAAAATGTTCGCTTCCAACGTATAGAAATGTGTTCGCGAGGAGAAAAAGTAAAACCCGCCCGACCTTTGTCTTTTCGTGGAAATTCGCGGCGAAATGCGCGTGCCATTGTTTCCGACGCGACGAATATTCCCGGGTTCCCATTGTCTGCCTTCCAGACGAAGCCGATGGATTCGCCGATATAAACTCGAAAAGAGCAATTCCTCGGGAGCACGTCGAATGCGTCGTTCCCCCTCCCGCTCTCTTATACGAAAGTTCTGTAAAAAGATTCTCCCTTGCACTTTTCTTTTGGCGACGGCGCGACGTACTTGTCCCCGTTCGACGTCTTGATGAACGATTCTCTCATAGAAACTCGACGTTATTATTACTGTTTAAACTTCAAGTTTTACGTCCTACGCGTTAAAAATATTTTTTAAAAGCATTGATAGAGACCATTAACGGGACTCGCGACAGTCAAGTTGGCGATTGAAAATCAATGCGAGCGCGTGCGTTGGATAAAAATCTCTTCGACAGATTGTGCACGAAGGTTTCATAAAATACGATTTTTACACGAGACGACGAGAGCCGGGACACCATTTTTTATTTCCAGGGAACATTCATTTCCTGTACTCATCGATGCATTTATACGTTTCCCACGTTTCTATGAAGAGCAAACTAGTGTTTACATAAATCATCTTTTTTCTCTTACTCAGTTCAGATATAATTCTTCTCGTTTTATGAAAGAGTACGATAACTATAAAGACGGGCGGCCGTTCCTTTAACGAGCTCAAAACATAACTTATTCATAGATAGATTCGTTTATTTTTGTGGATTTAATGAATATAGCTATTTGAATCAGAGCGCAGCTTTGATACTTAGGGTCTTTTAAATATTTTCTCGTGAAAACGGCAGCCATGCGCGCGGCAAGAATTAGCTTACATTTTTTATCCATTTCCGTGCGCAGAAAAAGTCAATTTTCTTTCGTACACCTCACGGGCTAATACATTATTCATATCTCCAGTCTATCTTTTAGCTTTCGGCGACGCGAGTTATATAGGAGAACCTTGATCCACCTTTTCTATGAATACCAAAAAATGTAAAAAGGGAAACAAGATCGAAACCGGACGAAGAGAGCGGGGCAGATAGGAGAAACGGACCGCGACGATAAATTTGAAATTCGTTTGGTCGCGGCGTGGCAGTGGCGTGGTCGCAGCGGCAGTACCGGTGGTTCGCGGGTTTCGATTCGGAGCCAATTACCAATTTCCCGCGCGATTTATGGACCAGACGAAAAACACGGACGTTCTTCTATAATCGAAGGCAACAGAACGTCTCTGTCTGGATTTTCGTTTTTTCTCTCTCCCGCCCGCAGAGATTGCAATCCCACCTCGTAACCGGTCGGGAAATGGATTTATGATACGATCCTGTAACGAATCTCTGCCCAGGCGAAATTACGAGATGCAACGAAATATAATGCACGGGCCATGCCAAGTTCCTGGCTAATGATAATCGAGTATCGACGCTTCGGTTTCTCTTCGCTAGGATGCGATCTAACGGAATTAAATGGAAAGGAATGGAACGGTATCCCCGATCATCACGCAATTGTATGAAAATTCAATGGGGAGAACGCGACTGAGATCGCGGAATTAAATTATCAGTCAGCGCTGGTCTGATATAATGCGTGTTTAATTCTGATGCAAAATTCTCCAACGAAACGAGAGAGGCCGTCGCCGAACCAGAAACGGAAGGGTGAGGCTTCATTTTATGCGTTCGATTGAAAATTATGTTAACAAGCACGTTTTTGCTATTTGCCTCTCGCTGTTCCGACAATTCGACCGGCCAGTTTCATTGTATGAAGTTCAACCGTGAAAAGATTAATTCACAAGTGATCCGCATAATTTCTGTAAACGCGACGAGTTTATTTAAAGATGAACTGCGACTGCGAGTTACGCAGTTTCAACTTCCCAATTGTTTTTCCATTTGCATATTTACTTAAAAGTTAAACAGATAATTTTTTAAACTAAAGAGTATTATCAAAATGGTATGCTTTCTTTTTTAACTAATTTAAAATTAATATACTCAAGAAAATGATACAACGATTTGAACATTTTGAAGCTGAGATAAACGTAGGGAGCCGGGGAGCGGGTCGATCGTAGACTTAATTCACGGAGTTTATTTAAAGATGAACTGCGACTGCGAGTTACGCAGTTTCAATTTCCCAATTGTTTTTCCATTTGCATATTTACTTAAAAGTTAAACAGATAATTTTTTAAACTAAAGAGTATTATCAAAATGGTATGCTTTCTTTTTTAACTAATTTAAAATTAATATACTGAAGAAAATGATACAACGATTTGAACATTTTGAAGCTGAGATAAACGTAGGGAGCCGGGGAGCGGGTCGATCGTAGACTTAATTCACGGATGAGGCTTTCGTTTTTCTGCGCAGTTGCAACCGTCCAGCGCGGCGTTCCCATCTATCGCGGCTCGTTATTAAGTAATATCGGGAGATTTCGTCTGCCGGTTCGATGCGCCGATAAAATTTTCATTTCGCGGTTCGCTGGCGACGTCGGCGAGTAGAAGGGAGGGAGGGAGCTGTGGGTGAAATGTCGGATGCCTTGCAGCTTAGATAGGGAGGCAGCCACCTGCCCCCGGAACTGGCCAACTTTCTGTGTCACTGAACCTCCTCTGTCGAGCCGGCGAACGTGAATGTGTCCCGCTTTTACCCGTGAATGCGCCAATTAATTGGCAGATCCTCCGAATCCCATGTCGTCGCGCAACGTCTCAAAGGCGAAAAAGTCGGCCTCTTCCTTTGAACGTGCAAGGCGGAAATAGATAACGAATGAATAAACCATCGGGTAAAACGAAATTGTGTGAGAATAGGAAGGTCGTATCCAAATGAATCTGTTTCGAATTACGAGTTTGTTCAATTAACGGAGGGAGCGGTTCTCCGAAATAATTCGGTTTCCAATTTTGTTAATTACATTCGGCAAATGCTTGGTTGTTCATAGACTAATGAGAAAATTATAAAACGGTGATTGCAATTTGTGCGCGTCAGTCGCCGAGCTACGAGGTCTGACCAAGAACTGATCTATACTACTAGCTGCTCGTACGCGTTCTGGCTGTTTCTGATAGACTTGCATAACTGTTTATTCCAGTTATTTTATTTCCAATATATTGCACATAGAAATTAGAGATGCCGCTTTTATGCTGTCTCATTTAAAATTAATTAACAAGTATCGAACTTTCAAATCAAAGTTAGAGCATCATTAATTTCTCAAGCGAAAACGATCCATCTCCAAGTGCATTATCATTAAGTGCCAGCGACGATTAAATGATCCTCTTCCCCGAAAGGAAGAGGATAAAATCGACGCGCCCATTCGCATGAACGTCGAGAGAGTGGGCGGCGCAATTCCTTATCAATCGAATTTGCTTGGGGGAAAAACGAAACCAGGGACCGGCGGGATTTGGAACGGGCCGTGGCTTAACGTGAAACTTATCCGCAGGGGTCGGGAGGGTGGCTGAAAGCTTTCGGGAAGCTCTCGACGCGCTCGAAGCGGTGCGAAAACGCGGAAAGTTGCCCGGCCGCCTAGCCTACGCGATCGCGAGATTCTCGGCTCGAACTTTCCCTTGTGGCCTCATTTTGGCGCAACCATCGTAATAGGCTTTCGTCATCGACCTCGTATCTCGACGCCAATCTCCGTTCCAACGATTTTTCATCACAACAGAGGTTCGAACCAATTTTCCCCCGAACTGAAGATTTACGAATGCTCATTACATGTTTTATAAAGCAGATCTTATTGTCAGACTAGTTTCAACTTAAATTGAGAATATCTAATTGCAATTCTCTTCAAATCTCATTTATTCTAATCATTATTGATGAGGACAATAATATTCATGCTACATGTCGTTAATTATTTCATATTGCTATACAAGGCAGGGAGTATCCACCACGGAAATGGTCTACCATGTTTAACCTTATTACAGACGAGGGCAATAAAAACAAGTGATTCTATTAGTACTCAAGTGGAATGTTAGTAGAAGTCAGTATGGGCGACGAACAGTTGACCAAACAAGATCGTTGCCAGTGACACAAGTCTTATGGTAATTTTATGCAAAATCAATGCGGCTACATAGTCGCCAGTCTACCCGTATAGATGTTCGTGTATGTATACGCCCGGCGCGCGAATCAAATATTCGGAAAGGTTCGCAGTGCGTTGTTCTCCCGGAAAATACTGCGGTCGGTTGAAAAATATTCTAGTTGTTTTCGTTTCGCGGTACAGAACCGACCACTGTGCACAGAGATACGCTTTCACGGAAAAATCTGTTTTCTAAACCGTTCGCGGTCGGATCACGCATTTTCGCACCGATTCCATTCGAGTTTTTAATAATCTCGCACCTCGGATATCGATCTTATATCCCTCCTGTTTTCATTGTCAACCGTCTAAGAGCGAACGCATGAACGCAGAACGCTGACTGAAACTGCTTTTCAATTTTGTGCACACTGTTAAAAAATTTGGTATACAACCGGTGAGCACGTTTGTACATTTTTATCAAAGTCCGCGGAAGTTAAAGCCACAGGAAGTGCAGTATTAAATGAAGCTCCAGTTTGAGTTTCGAGTTAGATTAAAAGTTTAGGATAAACTTAAACATACCTTAAATCGAAGTTACTTTCACCCGACGCCGGATAAGATTCTTCTTCTTCTTCTTCTTCTTCTTTTCTCTCTCCAGTATGCCTCCTGACGAGTAAAGTTCTCAGCCGCTTTTAACGCCACTCACCTACAAGGAGAGGTTGCTATTAAAAAAGACAGCTCCGAAATATTTTATACGACGCGGCTTATCGGGCAAAGTTCTTAGTTCCGTTTGTAAGAAACGGAGCGCGTTACGAGGAAACAAAATCGAGCAGTAGTGTCGGGCAATCACAGACCATTTAAGCCTGGGAAGCTCCAATTGCGATTTCCTCGGATCGGTGATTTAATTGCGTTCGGTGTTTTGAACCGGACGGACAGTTCGCACGCGGCTGGTCGATACCGGGGCCCACGCGTGGCCGGTTTAGTGGAAGCCTAATAACCCAATTAAAAGGAGATCGACCTGGGAAACTCGAGGAGGTCCGCGAGAGATCGTTCATGCTCATGATAACCGTTAACCTAGTTCCTTCCGACGCTAAACTCACGGCTAGTCCGATCTAATTAAATTAAAATGTTCTGTCTAACAATTCAACGCTTTCCAAAGTATCGTGAAATATTTTAGGTGTAGTACTTCGTTTGAAAACAATTAGCGTGTTACCGAATAATAACGAAGTTATCGAATAATTTGTAAATGATGACCGAGAAAAACAAGTCGAACAATTTTATAAATCTTACTCCACTGTAATTATCATTTTTTCTAAAAGTCCATTGCTTCAAATATTGGACACAGCTGATTATTACACGTCTTAAACTTTTGGCAGAGATTTTACGACTCATACAACCTTAAATACAGTGACTTATAATAAATTATATTATAAGTAGGATTTGAATAAAATAGGGCAATAATTCTACAAAACGTGGTTTCGATATTTTGTACGACGTAGTACAACGTTTGAGTGAGTTCCATCTTGCGAGAGGAAATCACGGGAAAGCGCAAACGACGCGACACGACTGTAGGTCGACGAAATAAAATTATTTTCGATCGGATATCGACGCCGTTAGCTCGTCGTCGCCGTCGTCGTCACCGGCGCGTATTAAATTACGAGCACGAGTAAATACTAGTTCCCTGGCATTTTTCGACTATTCCCGACAATACCAATACGGTCGCTCTTCCAGCGGAGCAAAGCGTACGATAGCGGTGATAGTTTTTCATGGAAAAAAAATCAAGGAACGCGTGGTCGCGTGACCCTTCGTCGTTTTGTTCCTTTTGTTTCTCGTGTCCTGGTCGTGTCAGCCTTCCAGTTCCCAGCCCGCGTTCTCGTCGAACGCTGGGAAATGTTCGAAAACGGAAATAGTCGCGCGAGTAGGACGGGAAGTCGGAGGCGAAAACATTTCACGGACCGTTCACGGTCGACCAATTACGCCGCGGAAACTGCCATCCATTAAAGTCCCTTCATACTGTCCGTATTAGTTTCCTCGTTTTTCCCCGCTGCTCTTTTTTCTCCGCTACCCCTTTCGAACTGCTCGCGTTGTTTCTAGCTCGGCTATCGTTTCACCCGATCGAACGGATTAATTGCGAACTGATAGTTCCTGAACGATGTAGCGGAAAACGTGTACGCGCGCACGTAACTAGCCCCGCAACAGCGTGCTGCCCTAAAATATTGAAGCCAGCTGCGGTTACGACGTCAAATTGCTTTGTTCTGAATTCTCTTCCTAGCGCGATCGTCCATAAGCGGTTTTAGGATTTCCGCTAACTGTATGAAATTGTACAGAGAAGAGAAAGAATTCGATACTTCGTTGCGGAATTCCTCTGTTTCGGAATTTCCAAAAAATAGATCGTCGTTGACCGCGATTGAGAATGCGAGGTTTTAAAATCGATTCGAGGGTGATTAACAACTGGGTGGGAGCAAAAGAACAACGGAAACGCAGGGGCCGCGCGCGCGGTCGGATTCAATTGAAAGTGTTCGAAACAGGTCGATTTTCGAGTGAACCGCTCGAGGTTCGAGTGGAAACTCGATCTGCCAGTCTGAAAAGGATCAACGAATGTGTCGGGGTAAAAGGTCCAACGCAATTACGCTATCTCCAGAGATTGGAACGGGTTCAAACGTCACAGCCAAAATGTCTTGCGTTATTCCCAGTTTCAAAAAATTACTCCTCGTTACATTGATTAAAATTTCTGTTCGTCAATTACGATATTCTAAAATTCTTTCTTCACGCGAGCAGTGAAATTGAACAAACCGACGATCTTCCATTAATCCAATGGGATTTTCAATTGAAAACGAGAAGGAACGCCAATTCAGGAATTCGCTGATCTATATAAGAGTATCCAGTCTGTTTTGAAAAAACGAGGAAATAAAAAATGACCAGGAGAACGAGAAGTTGGAATCGCAATGCGGCGGAGGGAAAATTCGCGCGGTTTCCCGGCTGCGGTTGTCATCGGTCGTCGGTTTCGAGAACCTCTCGATTCGAGTGGAAAACCCAATGGACGGAGCGGCGCACATCGGCAAATGAACGAGATCCGGCGAAATGGCGTCGCGACTTTTTGCGCCGACCGTTCGTCTCGTTTCGTTTCGACGCGGCGACCATTCCGCATTAATTATTCCACCGCGGTTCATTGTGTCGGGATTGAAGGTTCCCAGCCGTCGCGAGAACCAAAATGCGAATCACGTCGTGCTGACTCGTCCAAGTCATTTTCAATGGCATAATGAAGTTCTTTCTGTTTACACAGACAAACGTGTCAGAATGTACTGTAAATCTAATTTTCTGCTCGGCGCGTTAATCAAAGGAGAGCCAGTCCATTTTACGATGCTCCTTCGCCACCGATCGTTTGCAGTAGCGATCCCACGGATTTTATATTACATTCGTCAGAGCGAATACCTCCTGTAACGTGACCGGCAGCGTGTAAACAATTTACGACAGTAAGAGGTTTACGAAGCGGTATTACGGTCGGTGCGCGAAACCACGCTTTACAACAGTAAAACTCGATCCGATTTCTGTATTCACGACTGGAACCAGGATGTAACCATTTCGAAGGGAGCTTGCGGTATGTTCCATTGTTATTTGCGTTATTCGATCGAGCGCCAATCATTTCGAACAACACTGAGATATTTAATTTCAAATAAATATTATTAACGATATTGACTACAGAATAATAGTTAGATAGATTCGATAATTAAATTTCATATGGAAAATCAGAACGCATTTCTGTAATTGCACCAGAAGAGGCAATTTTAATTAAATATACGCTCCATCCCTCGGAAATATTCCCGATTTTCTGTCTATTTTTAACAGTAATTAGCAGTTTTCATGCGCAATCAATTTTTTATAAATCCATATAGGAGTATGTAACTTCAATTACAATATTGTTCGCAATACGTATTTTACGTTCGTATTTTAAATCCGCAGTCTACCACTCAGGCTCTGTTTCATAAAAAAATTTGTCGACCGAAGCGAAATCCCGATTGGATTAAACCAGGAGGTCAGAGCACTTAACCGAATTTGGAAATAATAAAATAATCGTCCTCCCTTCGATGCAAATTCCGACTAACTAAGCTAAATAATTTGAAACTTCGGAATGCCTTTTGTTGCTCGAATTTCATGAGTTCCACGGCGGTATTTCGATTCGGGCGCAGGTGCGCTCTAATGTAAATTCCGTCCGCATACGGAAAGACGGCTAGGGCTAAGCGGGCGTGCGAACATAATTCGCGAACCAGCAAAGCAAGAAGGTTCATACGCGACCGCCATCCACGCGGATGGGACTGCGCCGCCGTTTATTTAAGCGGAGTTTAAGCGGCTGCTCGGCCTGCACCTGCTCGTAATTGTCCTGATATTCGGCCCTACTGGACCTCTTCTCGCCTCCCACCTCCATCTGTGGCTTATTTATTAATTGACCCCTAAACTCCGAAGTGCATCCGGCTCGCTCGGTTTTTGGCCGTCGCCTCGTGTGCTCATCGATGCGCGAACACAACGCCGCCGACACTTCGGGTAAGAAGCTGAATGGGGTGATAATGAGCGTGATAAAAGGGAGTACCCTCACCCGGAGCAGTTCGATCCGCTGATTTCGTCCCATTGCACTATTTTAACGGCGTTTCACGCTTGTTTAGTCGGTTTTTTTAGCGATTGTTAGCATTGAGGTGCTCGTACTTTTACATCAAGTAGATAAACATTTCCAATTCAATTTTTATAAGAATCCTTCCAGTATTGTTGTCTTCGAATAATAAAAAAGAATGATGATCTGATATTTTTAAACAAACTTTATCGAGATTCTCTTTTCGAAGGTTGTTCATCAATTCCTGCCCCGCGTGCACGCAATTTGGTAAACGACGCAGGCAAACACGAAATTCCATTCCATTTAAACTCTCGCCAGAAATTCAACGTCCGATCCACGTGTGTGCCAATAGCGAAATTTCCCGTGGAGCCTCGCGACACGAGTAAACAGCCCCATAGCCGTCCACCAGCTTTCCACCTTTTAGGGATTGGTTTACTTCCTAAGCAAATTTCCCCAGATCCGACTCGAGTTGGATATCATTTGTGTAACCCTGATAATTTATGCAAACAGTCCTCGATTCTTCATTGTGTTGCCTCTACCGTTTTCGCTAAATACATATGTACCTACAGTATACCACTCTGTACTAACATGCTTTTATTGATTCCTCTTTATCCGTAATTTTGGTAAAAGTGCGTACGATTTAAAAGAAACATGCATGAATGCGTAATTGTCTGTGCATTTCAATTTCAAATTACGTTTCCAGAATAAAGTTGCATTAATTATAACATACTCTCCAAAGCGTGGTCCACTTTTAAATTAAAACGTATTATATTTTTTTGCACATATGCATATTTTGTATTTTATTACTATGCGAAGAATAAGCGAGGGCCACATCATAATGGTTGAAGTATGACAATAAACCGCTTGCGCATCGCCGTTTCCGTTTTACGACCGGAGAGAACTTATAGCTCACCGCTCTTTTTATCTTATTGGCTTTCATCGCCAGCCAAGAATTATTTGATCCTATTAACCTTTCACTGCGGTATATTTTAAGACGATTAAAGGGTGCACGGCCATGGGTCGATAGTGCAACTATTATTTCAAGAGTTATGCCCCAAAAGTATTCGATTGGATGATGAAACAATATAAAATTAGATAGCATC